TATCGTTAACTTATTAATTAAATTTTAATTTTTAATCGTTAACAATTCATAATTAATAATTAGAAATTCCCATCACTACCTATTGGTACCCCATTGGTCATTTAGTACTATTGTTATAATCGATACCCTATTGACCTCTTTTGGTGCCAAAAATAGGCGGCAATAGGGAGGTTCCTCATTTTACCTGTGTACATACTGTATGTCGAGTAAGTTTTTTAAATAGATTTTTTACAGTAAATTACGATAGATAACACGATAATGCCAATACAAACTAACATAAGTTTAACTACATACTGTGTGTCATCGCCAATAGCAAGTAAGTTTTTAAATAAATTTTTCACAGCAAATTACTATAGATATCAACAATAATGCCAATACAAACTAGTGTGTTCTCGCAATAGCAAATAAGTTTTTTAACACAGCAGATTGCATTGGACATCAACGATAATGCCAATTCATACAATTATTAATCTGACTAAATATACACAGTTCTTTCCTAATACTCCACTTAGATCATTAAGCCTACTACACATGATACAGCAAAGATAATTACCGTGTTATAACAAATACGGCAACGCTAAAATTAAAAAGCTCCAGCGCGTGGACAGATGCATTACTTGTTATTATCTGCAAATGTTTAATATTGTTATAAGCTAGCACTATGATATGCAAAGCTGAAAAGATTAAAAATAGTAGGAAACTCTTAAGGAAAAGCTTTGCATTTTCAAAAAATTGGCTAATATTGCAAAAGTCCGATAGATACAATACAGTTCTGCCAGGATATTAATCTTAGTTATAAACCCATATATTCTTTTGATTTCGTATTATAATTTTTTTGTATATGCATTCTATAAAAGTATATATGCGGTGAAAATCACGCGCATCATAGTCAAATAACGTAAATGATATAAACAAAATAAATTTTTATGATTTCGTGATTATTAAATATATGTATTATGACGTAAAATGTTATTAGGGTCTATGACTGTAAAGGTTTAGATTAGATAAAATATTCATTTTGTAATTAATATCCTTGTACAGAATAAAATGCATTTATAAATTAGTATAGGTGTTTTTTTATAGATGGTGCGTTTATTAGTTATTATTATGTTTATTTATTATTTTTATCATAATTTCATAATACAAATTCATTCTAGTTTATCTGATTTCAAATTTAATAAACAAAGTGTTATTAAAGGGTGTTCACTTTTATTAGTGAAAAATCGTACGACATAATTTGTTAGAAATTTTAGATCCTTGCATTATAATAAGTGGGAGTATAAGTAACGAATTCCGCTGATGATTAGTAATCTTATGTTATATAATCATTTGATAATAGATGAAGATTCGGAGAATCTTTTTTCCATTCTTTTGAAAAAAGTTTATAGCTGAACTTATGATCATAAATAAAAATAAGATACGTAAGCACGTACCAGAGCCAGTGGATTTTAATAGTAGCAAAATAGCACTAGCAATATCACGACAACCACATAAACAAATCTGACCGAAATTGTTTTATTTTAATTCTATAAATATATAGAATTAAAGTAAAACAATTTCGGTCAGATTTGTTTATGTGGTTGTCGTGATATTGCTAGCGCTATTTTTGCTACTATTAAAATCCACTGGCTCTGGTACGTACATATATACGTACTGTATGTACGTTATTAAACGTTATTCTTTAACAATATAATTTTTTTTACCAAATTTGGGGACAATAGCAAAGTTTAATAGTATAAAATCTCATTTGTCGGTCATGAAACGAATGAAAAAAGTAAGGTGCTAATACGTACGTCAATGAAATAAATCACGATGCTTATTTTTATTTTGAATTCTGTAAAGTCCATTAATGCAATCAATTAAAAGTGGTATGAACTTGAACAGAGTTGACAAATCAGACATTTGTATCCTTAAGTGTTACTTCTCCGTTGAATTCTAATAATCATGGACATCTTGGTATATTTTTATTTTTGTAGCAAATATCAAATAATTAGAAATATCAAATAATTAGAAATATCAAATAATTAGAAATATCAAATAATTAGAAATATCAAATAATTAGAAATATCAGATATATAATTAGAAATATCAAATAATTAGAAATATCAGATATATAATTAGAAATATCAAATAATTAGATAATTGAGAATATCTTGCATATACATTAGATAGATATTTGTTCTAAACCTGAATCTACGAATGCAATTATGTCCAATTCAATCAGAATCATAGGTTATAAATGAGTACGGAAAGTTTAATGAAATAACAGCTTCTTTCTCTTAATTCCAATTTTCACACAAAACTCCTATTCTTCAGCTTCTTTTTGTTCTTAAAATATGGCCAATACACAACAATACTTGATATATGTAAACGAATTGCCGAACTCTTCCGAGATCAGTTCTTTATTATCTCAGCCACCATACGAATTGACGCTCTCGGTTGAAGAATTGACCAAGGCACCAATTATTAAAAATAGGTTTGATAAAATTCCTCGCCCCTCGAATGCGTTCATGATTTACCGCAGGAATTACGCGGCCGAAATGCATTTAATGCATTTGGCAGCACAAACAACCAAAACCTCAACAAAGGTTGCGAAAAGCTGGGAGAAGGAATCTGAATTAGTGAAAAAATTCTTTAAAGTTTTATCTTTAATTGCCGAAAGGAATCATTCATTAATGTATCCTAGTTATAAATTTCAACCTAAAAGCAAGAAAAAAAAAGTGCTCAAGTTTCGTGAGGTTTCTTTTAAGAAAAATAAATCTAAAAAATCTCATAACTTGACATCGACCACCACTAATTTATCATCGCCTGAATTCCCATCTAACCAAGTTTCCACAAATAATACCTCACCCGTTCCACAATCACATCAACTGTCAAATTATGGTCCTACTGAAATTGATGATCCATTTTTTTCATTATTTAATTCATCGTCGTCTGAATTCCCCGTTCCACAATCGTCAAATTATGGTCTTACTGAAATTGATGATCCATTTTTTTCATTATTTAATATTAATTCATTCGTCGCCTGAATTAGTCATACTGAAATTGATGATCCAGTTTTTTCATTATTTAATTCATGGATATATTATTATTAATACAAAAAATCTTTTTTTTTTTTGATTATCATTTATTCATAAGTTTTTATTAAATGTATAGACGAATGTATTTTTATAGTTTTTAAGAGATAATCTTTTCATAAATATCTTTTACTTTAGTTACTTGAATTGTTTTTCTTAATCTAATTTTAATACACAAATATAATACAGTATTCTGATTTCTTTCTAGATCTTCCGTTCCTGGTTTGCGCGTTGACGTCGCGTAGCTATCTAGTTATTTAAATTCATAACTACACTAATTTTAGTTTAATTAGATAATGTTATATGTAAAATCACTTGGTTTACTTAAATAAATTATTAATTTGGGTTTGGGTCAAAACCCGACAAACAAAATCGCAAAAAAAATTGACAAGATCTATAATCAATGATAACCTAATGCAAAATACAGGATAACATGTTGGGATTTTATTTATTTTCCTTCAAGTTTATGTTTATAGCATTAATTATCAAAACTACACATTTTTTTTCATTATTTTTATTTATTTAATCGGTAAGTATGAAAATCTTTTAATAATACTTTACTATATCTTTAGTTTTCTAATTAATTTGATCAGTAGGTATAAATGTTTTTTATTTATTGAATGTCGTTAATGTAATAAAATCAGAAAGCATGTTTATTATTATTCCTTCTCGATTCAATAGTTTAGTGGCAAAACGCGTCAAAATCCGCTGCGCCGAATTCGCGTCACGAGGCCTGAGAACGTGACCAAGACTCCAATTCCACGAAGCCCAAGACCACAAGACCTTGGGCTTGGGCAGTACAATAAACAAAAATTGTAAGCCTTGGGAAGAAACAATTATTGCCATGATGATTGCGCAATAAATTAGAAAGGTTTTTTTTCTTTTGTCCCCCCCGCATGTAAAATTGTATAAAATGGGCTCTTTTTGTCCTTAATAAAGAGCAGTGAATGTTCACATAAAAGTGGTAATTGGGTTGTTTTTTGTCCCCACGATATATCCGATTTAGCCTTACCTTGCCAAATCCTACCGCCTCTAATCGTTTGGTATATCGCGTGGTTGGTTGTGTTGTTTTGGTGGTGAGTTGAGTGGTTCGCCTGTGTTGCCGACCAATTGCCTCCAAGCCAAATACGAATTAACATTATTAAATGCCTTCGCTTTTGTTGATTAAGGTCCCGAATCTTATGACTTTGGGTCACTTATTTTTGGTCAGCAATCGCTGTTATTTGTTGTGGTGGTTAACAAATGGTGAACAACCCACTTGGTATTCAGCTCAGTTTCCTAGAACACACAGCGTGAATTCATAGTTGAGCAACACTTTGTTGCAACGACGCGGTGCTTATAAGAGCAAAGGTTTGTGTTGTATTTATTCTCTTTATTTTTCGTATATTAAAGAGAAAGGGACTACTAATCGCTTTCTCTTAATTATACTACATTGTTACTTTATCAAACTACAAACCAGTGACACATATTATCGTTATGTTATGCATGATTATGCACAAACTACAATAGATTTTGCTTGCATAAAAGTTTACTGATATACTTGATATATTGTCACGCTTACTACGTATAGTACGACTTTTTGATCATATTTAGCATTTAAGTATAACCTTTATTCGTTTATTACATAGCAGATAATACGTATTGTTTATTCTAGATAACTTACACGTTAACAAAATAAAAAAATTGTGATAATTTTATAATTAAGCAAAAAATTAAACCAGTAAATTTTGTGAATTTTTCATCACTCAATAAATACATTTGCATTGGTGACGAATGTGCAAGTTCTAGTTAATTATAATTTCTTGACGTTCTTCCGCATAATTTATTGTATTGTTAATATCTTCGATTTCAATAATTTCTTTCATATTGCTGTATCAAATTGAACTTGATCGTTTAAATCTTCCCGAATAACTAATAAACACGTCATCTTCTTGACTGCTAATATCGTCTTCTTGATAATTATTAATATCGTCATCTTCATAACTATCATCTATATCGTCATCTTCATAATTATCAATATCTGATACAGTTTTATCAGAATCTGATTCGTATTCGGTTATTAAAGATAAATCTTCCGGAGGATTGTGAGCATCTAAAGTTTGCGAATACAAATTATTATTTTCTAAATGATTAATCATCTTCGTGTCGTTATGAGGCAGTTGCCTGAACACTAAGTTGTAAGGAGTTTTTTGATATCCTGAACAATGTTGATTATTCATAGCCCCTAAATAATATAAAAATATTGGTTTTTTTTAATAAGAATTTTTTTTCTAAATCTATTTTTACATTACTTACAAACTACAAATTTCAACCCGATGCTCCAGTCGCTTCTATGATTTTTTTCCATCCATGCCCTTAATTTCGCTTGAAGAATGTCATTAGCATTTTCAATATGACCGTGAGATTGACCATGAGATTGACCGTGAGATTGACCGTGAGATTGACCGTGAGATTGACCGTGAGATTGACCGTGAGATTGACCGTGAGATTGACCATGAGATTGACCGTGAGATTGACCGTGAGATTGACCGTGAGATTGACCATGAGATTGACCATGAGATTGACCATGAGATTGACCATGAGATTGACCATGAGATTGACCATGAGATTGACCATGAGATTGACCATGATAATGAGATTGACCATGAGATCGAGGGTTTCTGGACCTTCCGTGGATAATTTTAATACCTGGCCAAAAATTCAAAGTTTCTTGAACGATCTTGACAATGAACTCTCCTCCATTGCTAGAATGAAGGAACGCGGGTGGCCCATATAATAAACAAAAGTTGAATAAAGTTGTGGTGGCATCTTCAGCTGATTCAGTGTAGGAAGGCTCAGCATAAGAAAACTGCGTAGAACGGTCTCTGATATGAAATATATATTTATATTGTCTATCAGGAGTCATTGTCATATCGATTATATCAATCTATAAAAAGAAATTAATATATAGCATTGTATTATACTAAAGAAATCAGTTACGTATTATTAAGTATTTAAAATATTACTTGGACATGAGATAAAAACCCTTCTGCAACAATTGGACGTGGAACTTTTATAGTGGCATGTTTTGCAACGCATACTTTACATTCACGAATAGCGTTTTCAACCACTTGTTGTGGGATATAACAATAACGATTCCGAATCTATAAAATTGGATAGTATTAATTTTTTCAAAGTAAATTTACAGTAACAATTTTATTTAATAATTATAAAAAATTCGACTTAACCTTTCTCCAAGTTCTTTCTTGTCCTCCGTGTTTAATTGTTTGATGAGCGCCACAAATTACCTCATAAAATTTTTCGATAGTACAAACTTGCGTTCCAAGATTATTTTTGAGTAAATGAAGTTCCTCAACTGAACCGATATTAAGTATTTTGAAAGTATGGGTAACCCAATACTTAAAATTTTCCTTATGCGGCTGGTTGGGGTTTTTCAATACATCCAAACAATCATTATACCTATCTTCATCCATCAAACATCGTTTATTTTTTCTTTGACTAATATAGGTTTGAAGTATTTGCTCAAAATTCTCATGAGTTAGAAAATCGAAACTTTGAGGATTCATAATAAAATAATATAAAAGAAAATTCAATAAGATAATTCAAAAGAAAATTCAATAAGGTAATTCAAAAGAAAATTCAATAAGATAATTCAAAAGAAATTCAATAAAAGAAAAAAATTATCTTAAACAACCTGTGACTTTTTATTGTATAATTCATAATTTACAAATAAAATACGTAATTTATTTTACTGTAATTTACTTTTTGCTTATCGATAAAATACGTAATATTTTATATCGATAAACTTTAGTTTAATATAAGATACAATATGATTAACCAGAGTTATTTTTCTATCGGTGGAGATTGAAAGATAATCATTTATTAATTATAATCAATAAATTTCAAAAATGACGCATTATAATATATATAAATTTGCATTTTCTTCAATCATATGTTGTTCTCATTAAATTTCTGAATAGCGTGAATAAACGCAAAACTAAAACTTTACATAACAAAATGACATAAATTGAGAATCATCGCGAAACAAGAACTTGAAACTCTAATTCTAAAATGTTGTTGATTTACTTTTACATTTTATTTTACTTATTCAATAGTATAAAATAGTTTTTAATCAGTAAGTAAAAATTCGGTGTTCAATTGATTTACTTTTACATTTTATTTTACTTATTCAAGAGTATAAAATATTTTTTAATCAAAACTGTAAGTAAAACTCGATGTTTATGATTGGTAGAATATGTATATAAATTTTTTTATTTATGCTCCGGACCTATACTGGTTTCCAGTTACTACAGTACTAGTATTAAATTATAGACACTTCTGATCGGGTTAGTTAACGTTTATATTTGAAACACTTTTTGCTTCATTGATTCGAAACTTTATTCTAAAAACTATTGAACCATGAAGACTACATGAAGACAAAATGGGTTTACTGTCCGAATTAGCCCGATCGGAAATGTCGGAAGGTGATTTCAAGATAAAGACGTCATATTAAATTATATATAGTTTATATTTGAGCATACCCTATTCAAGCATCACAATGATAGACTAAGGACTTTAGTTTATTTATTAAATGAATCAAGAATTTCCATATCTACAGTTTTCATTGGTCGTAAAATAGTCGGATGACATATATCTGCAGAAATGTTAGAGACCAAAAATTGCAAAAATACGTACAAAAATTATAAATAAGAAATACTTTTATACGAACAAAAATTACAAAACAAATCAGAAATACTTCTCTGCAAAATAATACGATAAATTATATCTTTCACTTTCCATTCTTATTTTCAAGTAATAATAATATCTACGGAATTCTTGAAAGATCTTTCAGACGATTTTAAACTACTTTTATATGAATCAAGTTATTGCGATGTTATTATTCATGCTGGAGTAAGATTCTAATTCTAAAAAATTTAAAGTACACTCGAATATTTTACGTGCTAGATCAATCTATTTTAAAATTGCTTTATCTGGTGAATGGGTAAACTATATAAACGGTTCTTTCACTTTTAAAAAACTAAATATCTCTCCGGCTGTATTTGAATTGATACTTCAGTACGTTCCAATTATTGTTTGAACCTTGATTGAATTCCTACATTTCTTACTCTTTATTATTTTGTTTTTAAAGATTCCTCTATACAGGAATTCTTGATTTAACTAAACAATCATGTTTCACTATTCTTAAACTTCTTGTTGCATGCGACGAGTTAGTTCTTGATAAATTGGTTAACTATATCGAAAAATATGTAAGATTACTTGCTATTTTTAAAGTTCTTTAAGTTTGTTTATTTTAACAAAAATTAGGTAACGAATTAAAATATAAATTAATGGATCTTGCGTACAAGATAATTATGAAAAGGAAATTTTAAATGATGTTAACTTTGTCGTCGAAGAAATAGAAACTTTTATTGTGAAAAAATGCGTCATTTTATTTTCTAAAAATTTATTTTTTATTTTTTGATATATATTTTATGAATTTACCATTTAACTTTATACTATACTTATATAGCAATATATTTTATGAAATTAGAATTTAACTTTATACTATACTTATTATATCAATATATTTTATGAATAAATAAAGGAAATTATGATTTTATCACCAATTATAGTTTACATCTATATAAACTCTTAGATTTATGAGTAGAATTACAAAAATTTCATCGTCATGATAATCACTTTGAAAAATACATAAATTTGGACAACCTTAGTTGTATGACGAGATCAAATTTTTATTGATTCTAACATACGTGTAAATTACGTGTACTAATAAAATTGAATGTTAAGAGAATTTCAGTTTATATTAAATATATTGATTAGAATTCGAAAATTCATATTGAGATTAAAGGTGCAGACGGAACTTGACGCATCTGTAAATGAGCTACAACTAATTATAACTTTTACTTTAAATTACAACAATGTTCATGTTATAACTTTTTTATATATGCCAAACTTTCCATAGCCTTTTATATTGTAATACTGTATATCAGTATTTACATATTCCCGAACCGGATCTCGTGTCTTTTTTATAGGTCGATTGAATAAAAAATTTTCTTTTCAGATGAGTTACTTTGATTATCGTCAATTTCTTGAGATATAACATTTATTTTACTCATGAAGTGGTTTAATAATTGTTGTGAAATAGACGATTGAAATTGATCGATATTATAATTTAATTCAGATAATAGAGTGATTCTGAACTAATGTTGATTTGGTGATATATTTGTTTTGAAATAAGTGGTTTATAAATTTAATATGATGACAATATTTATCAGTAAAATACATCTATTTTGTTTTCTGCTTTCAGAATCTCAAAACAAAAATGGGAATTTTTAAACACCCATTTATTTTAGCACAGGTAAGCCACTGATTTCAATCACCGTCTTAAATCATGATAAAAAAAGCTATTCTTGTATTTAGTGATTTGAAAAGGCTTATTGTTGCGAAGTTAAAATTTAATATATAAAAAACGATTTGGTCGTACTGTATTTGGTTATTCTTTATTTTTTTGTGATTTTATAAATTTAGCTCTGCATTCGGAAAAGGTAGAGTTAAGTAAAAAAAAGTATCATTCAAGGAACAATTAGCATGGTTAAAGAAATGGCGTATTGTTTGCTTTGCTTAATGTAATTATAATACATTAGAGAAATATTTATATGTAATTTTCTAGAATCATGTAATAATTCCTATAAGATTGAATGATACAATTTTAAATTTTCTTTTGTTTATCGCACAATACAGTGCGGACAACCTAGTCCCATCAAATAAAATTTTAGCGGCCAAATTGAATTTTAATTTATATATATATTGTGTAGTCAAATTTAAAATTTTATTATAAAATAGCCAAATTATTCATTTTAATATATAAGAACGAGGAAAATTTCCGAGATTCTAAAGGTTTACCGACATTTACCCGACAACCACTTCCACGAATAACCATTTTCCCAACAACCATTTCCAACATGACGCGATTGTTGGGGAAATAGAGAAATGATTGTCGGTGAAATGGTTATGTCGGGAAATAATTGCCTGGAAAATAGTTGTCGAGGAAGTAGACCACCTAGTATCGTCAACAAAATCATGTACGTAATCGGGTTTTAAATTTATTTTCTGACATTAAATTTAATAATTGACGACATTTGATTAATAATAACTATTTACGTTGAAAATTTTTGAATATCGTAAAATGGAAAATTCAAACCTTTGTTCAGCCGAAAAAGAAAACGTGAAGATCAAATTTTAAGTGATATTTGCAAGCAAAAAGGAAATGCTGCAAAATCCGAAGAGGTGGATATTTCTCAAATAATTAATGAATTAGAAGTAAGTGACCCCGAAGAAGTTTTTGCAAGTTCATTAACACTTGAGAAAAAGAAGATGTTTATTCATATATTTACCATAAAAAACAAATCAAGACTACTTCATTTACCTATTGGTGTAACTGTCGCTGTGAACTTGAAAGGACGAAAAACACCTTGTTAATCCTCTTGGGAAGATGGATGCATCATTTTTTCGAAAGGTCTTATATTATTTTTTTTTTTAAAAAAAACTTTATCTTACTTTAATTTATGTGCAACGAAATTCCCAGCATCCTTTTATTTCGAAAGCTAAGGAAACTTTATGGCTCAACTACATTGGAAGATACGAAAATGCATTGTTTTTACAACAAGAAGGGTTTTTATTTCATATTATGATAAGTGATTACTGTACCATTATTTTAACCAATTTCTTATTAGATGTTTCATGATATTCGAAGAGGTCTTATTAGTTGAGTCTGTGAGGTACCATGTTTCGCAAAATTTTCAATAGAATAACTACAGTTACGTTTATCCAACTGAATATTCAACTCTTCGATAACTCCAATTAAAGGTATTTAGAACCAAATAAAGCTTGGCTTTTGTGAGTTTTTAAACCATATAAACAATGATCATATGTTGAATAATTAATATATTTCATTATTTTTTTCGAACATTCGACCATTTACATAGTTGTCAGTAATTTTTTCAAAGGTTAAGCATTTAATAAAAATCAATAAAAAAAATTCTTTTAAATTGAAAAATGCTTTTATTAAATATACTTTAGATTTATGTATGTACGTTACATTTTAATCGGTATAAAATTTACAGTGTCAATTATTATTAATTGACGAAAATTTGAAAGTGATGTCTAACTGCTAATATATTAACCGTATGTACGATCAAAATTTAGTATAATTTTCATATGTCCGTCTGAATCTATACTGTTGTACAGTACTACTTTACTGAATACCTCATGATTAGTGCTTGGCACAATCAAGCAAAGTCACAATTCAGCTAATTTATTTAATATAATAAAGATTTATTACATTGAAAAAAAAAATCTATTATTTAAAAAAAATTTTTTAATATTTCCAATTTCCTATTCTTATAAACGACCTTCCCTGATTGTGCTTCCACCAATCTAATTGATTCCCTCGTCTTCTTTATTATTATTTAAAGATCTCTAATTAGCAATCCTTCTAATTCATTTTCAGAGCATACGGTTATTAAATCCACATTCATCTAATACAGTTCTCATTCCTTTTAAAAGCTTATTGTTATGCAATGCTTGTTTTACTCTATTTTTTGATTTATCTAAAAAATGAGTATCTTTTATAGCTACTTCTCTACCTTGTTTATCTACTTTATTTTTGCATCACCTAGAGTCATTCTTTTTGAAGAGCATCATGTGCATTGCCATAATGCATTTGAGAGATTTCAGTTGGTAATCAATATATTCCTATAAAATCTCTTCTGGTGCACTGATTTAGCGTAATGTATATTCGTAGCCACTAAGCATTTATTCAAAATACCACTTTCTTTGGTTTCTTGATCGATCAATTCTCAATATTTTAATTCTTTTGCACTTATTAAAAAAAAAAAACATTTACTCAATAACGCTTAAAAACGCTTACATCTTTACGTTATGAGAAATATTTAGTTTTTTATTATAATAATTTCTGTTCACTATAATAAAGTTGACTGTATAATATATAATTTTGATGACAAAATTGCTTGGAAGAAATTTGAGGTTGATACTTAAATCTGTAACGTTTTTTGAGTCTTTTTTTAAAGGAAAAAATAAACAAATAACGTATGAAAGGGTTCATCTGATTGGTTGGTCATTGGTTACCTAACCGAACCCAGCATCACAAAATCCCGGGGCGATTAACCCATGACACAAGCTAAGCCTGGAACTTCGCCCCTGAAATTCGTTACACATACTAGTTGATTGAATTTTTACGGCATTATATTTTTAATGGCTTAGCGGCTTAGCCTAGTGTTGGCAGTAGAATTAATTTGAAAATTAATACAGTTACGGCATGTACTGTATTATTTGCTGTAATTGCTTTGTGCCGTAATGCCACAATGCCATAATGCCGCAATGCCATAATGCCGTGATGTCGTTATGCTGTTATATTGAAATACCATAATGTTGTTGTATCTAAATATTGCAGTAGTGTGTTAAAATACTGTAATCTGCAGAATAACATAGCATAACATTCTCTAGTGTTTATTGTTTAAAGAAATTTTTAGAATTAAGGGTTTTGTGAATAGGCAATCATTGATCATCAAAGTTCGTAGTGAAGGATCTTAATTTTTTTTTACTGTTCGATCAAGGTTATTTCTTATAGTGGGGAGTAAAGTTTATTTTCGGATTATCCTAAAATAAAAAGACTTGTTTTTGGATGCTCTAAAAATTCTTAAATTGTTCCAAATTGTTCTAAACTGTTCTATATTTTTACTAATGCGAAAGCAAGCTGCAAATCTACAACGTAGCTATTATAATCATCTGCCACTTCTTTTATGACCTTCAATTGGTTGCATTGTAAGATTATGAATAGGCCCAGTTGATCTAACTTGCCATTTATCCGATACCATATGATGAAGGCGTCGATAATACACAACACCAATATAAATATCCACTTGAAATTCTTCACCGATAATTCCGCTATACATTGGCTTATTTTTATGGTAATTGTCCGGAGCGTAGCGGAGGACTTTCAATAGACAAGCAATTACTTCAAAATGTCCTGGATTCCCCTCACCTGATACCATACGTGCATATTCTTATATTATCGTCACTACTGCACCGTCTGTCCGCCGTGATATTATTTTTATTGGCCGATAATTAATTAATATTAATAACAGTAATAATATGTTAGGCTTCGGACTCACAACAGCTCCTGTTAACCTAGCTATATCCTGCACGTACAAGCTGTTCTCCAAAATAATCTATTGCAGTAAATTCTTCATTAAATCTAAATGGTGTAGAATCTTGACCAAACATAGCACCACATTTTCCGGCCAATAGTCATACGTGATGGGAAAGTATGTGGATTGAAAATAACATCGGGTTGCGTGCAACTCTCAGTAAATGACACGTCAAACTGGAGCCATAATCGAGAAAAAATACCTTTCTGACCATGCTTAGAAGAAAATTTGTTGCCTATTACAGGAGGTCTCGGAATTCTTAGCATTATTTGCACCTTTTGAACTTCATATACGCCTGAGTCATCTCCTAGTAATATAACTTTATCTACATATGCATCTTATGATCCTTATATTGTTTCACAATTGTTTTACCACCCTGTGTGCCATCTATATATGCACATAAAGGATCACCAATTTTTAATCGTGTTCCGATGAACGGTAAACCATCATTATTAAGCTTTTCTCGCAATGAAGGTGGTGCGTCTGCACCGAGACCTAGATTCATCATGACTGACTATCTCAGATTTGTATATGGTACCATATTTTGAACCCTCTTTCATGAGCAGATTTATTGATAATCATTGCATCATCCATATAATACCCTATTGTATGTATAATTTATTAATTATAAAATTTATTTATAATATTCTAGTGTTAAATAAGTAATACCAGTATATGAAATCACAGCTATAATGGTATTTGTCCCATTAGGAAACCCATCTAGACCAAGAGTATTATGAAGCAATGGTCGTACTATCGGGGTTTGACCAGTCTGAAGTCGATATAATTTGTTGCCGTTCGATGCATTATTGCGGTTGAGGGTGTACCCACCGTTTGTTTTGTCATCTTTATAAAGAATGTATTAATTAAAACAACCTAGTCATTTTTTTATATATTTAGTCTATCAAAATCTTACTTGGCATTGATATATACTACGAGGACTTTGAAAATGGTGTTAAATTAACTAGAATACTTAACATGTTTGTGGGTTCAATCTCTATGTGGGTTGTTACATCTTTGATGACATCTTACTCTAAACACACAATGTTCATATATACCTATTTTACAAAAAAATTTGATTTTGATCCAAACTTTTAACGCAACATTATGTTAGAGTTTTGAATCGGTTTTATTTTTCATATGTTAAACCGATTAAAACTGGGTTTAATATATGAAAAATAAACCGGTTCCAAACTCTACATTATTTCGTCATAGAACGTCATAATACCTGCTAAAACGATCAACCTCATTATTAGCAAGGTATTTAACAGATCGCATCATACGTGCTTGTTCAGAAAATACCCGAATGTTGACCACCATTAGAAGGTGGAACATATCCGATTTCAAGGTCAATAAAAATCTAAGTAGTACAACCATGGTTAAATATATGTAATATAACTAATTATAATATAATGATAAGTTTTTTTATACCTCATCTTCAAATTTTAGCTATCGCAATTTATTCACAATTGATTGCGCATGTCCTGATTCATACCAGCCCAGCCCAGAAATTTCCTATCCAACTGTATATATAAAAAACTTTTTTTAGTCTGTTGCTAATCTGTTTACAATACCCATTTCTGCTAATATAAATGGAACCATTTCTACGTTAGGTTTGATAGTAATGATCCTACAAGCGTGGGGAAGGTGGTTGAGCAATCCACACGGTCACCATCCGGGGTATGTGGAGGCTCGGAAGATCACGTTTATTATTATTATTATTATTATTTTTTATTTCCTATTCTATTTCTATTTTTATTGTTATATAGTTAGTATTAGAAGTAAAAACACTATTACCGAATATAGAAATGTCATACATTGGTTTAAATTCGAACCTTGATTCAAATTTGCATCCGGTACAATTTTGTACCTATTCGTCCAAGCCAGGTACGAATTTGTACCAAATGTCTAAGCGGGTACAAATTCGTACCATATCGACTATAACCTTGTAGTTTAGCCGTAATTACGCTAAAGAACATAGCACAATAATATAAATTAGAATACGCAACCAGCAACAAGAGAATGCAGCTTACGAATCATAAAACTTTTATAAGCGAGTAGGATATAAATTTCAATTAAAGAATTTGAAACAAGTTCCAATTATACTCATGCATGCATTTAAACGGATTACCTTCATCAATAGATTGAACTTATTTCGATTATACTTAAGATGAACTAATATCACCTTTTTAATATACGGCCACCAGCTGTTTGTGAGAATAGGATGGTGAAATAGAAAAGATGATGCGCAACTTTTCACCTAAGAAACTAACACATTGTTCTTTGGATTGAATGCCAAATGATTTAAACTCTTGAAGCATAAGTTCCACACAACCTGTTAAGAAAGTATTTAAACATTCTCCCTGAACCAACTGCTCAATAATTCCTTTATAATTGATCTCAATCAAAGCCTAAGAAGGGATATATTATTATTATTATTATTAGTTTTAAATTTAAATATCTATATTTACAATAATTATGTTCTACCTTCATAATTAATATTACTGGAATTATGTATTCTTATGAAAACCTAAGCATACAATTACCGTTTTTTAAATAATGTATAATATTTGTCATAGTCGTCTGATCTTGTCTAGTGCAACGAATAGATACAGTATATGATGCGCACGGCTTTCTAATGACAGTCTGATAATAGCCATAACATAATTCCTCCGTTGTACCAACAATAAACGAATGACCTTCTCGACCCCATTAATTACGAGATAACCGCTCATTTCTTCAGATTCTTCGTGATTCTCGATCAATAGTTTAGGAAAAAGGTTTTATAAATTATAACGATTGGATTGAATAAAATTACTTAGCAAGTAAATAATTATTCATTCAATCATTTAATGAGTATCTTACTGTTTTCATGTTACCTTAACCATAATATGAGCCATTCCTACATATTTGGGTTCAAAAATTGTATTAGCATAATTTATTTTCCAACACAATTTGATAATCATTTTTCCTGCGTATGTAGTGAATCTTTCACGACATTAAAAGTTTATATATTTATCAATATAGTAAATTAGAAAAAATTTAGGGGAATTTGCAAAGAAAGTGAAAATAATTACAAATACAGGCCCAAATTAAAATAATTACATACAAGGGCCTAATTTTTAAAAAATAATACATATAAGGGCCTAAATCTATTGATAGCTGAAGAAAACGGATCGCAGGCTTATAACGATAGC